TCAGCAGGCAGGGTCAGGCACCGGCAGAAGCCATCCACCTCCCGGGAAAATTCTTCCGGGCGGGCTCCGGTATGGGGCTGAACCCACCAGTTGGGCCCCAGGCCAAGCCCTTTTTGGGGGACGAGGCGGACGCTTTTAGCCCTGAGGGAGGGTTGTTCAGTGAGGGGGCGGCCAAGCCAAGGGAGAGCCTTTTACTCCTTTTGGGGGCGGGGACGGGGACGTGTATGGCCAAAAATGAAAGTCCCTTTTGTTCCATTTCTGGGGGTTTGTTGGGGGGGGGGGGGGGGTTGAAAGATTCACGTTACTGATGTTTTTCTGTGTTTAGATATCGCTGGTAGAGTTGCATACGCTTGTGCCCGAGATGCTGCGATATTTCGACTTTGAGATGGCGCATCATCGGCCGTGGAAAACGGCGAATCGGTGGTTCAACAAACAGACGGATCTTCTTGTGCGTGTGGCGCGGAGGTGAGGAGTGATGATGCGTGTGGTTGGTGTGGAAGACGTTGGAATTGGGTCATGGAGGGCCGTGCAGCAGTAGCATGCGGTATTCCCTTTTTTAACTGGATCATACCTATCCTCTTCATGTGATTTGGTGAAGTACATATATCCTTTGACTTGAGATGATGAGCTAACAAGTTTTGGATAAAAAAATGCGAGTGTAGTTGGCATTGCAAGATTGACATGTTGCAATATTTGGCCGTCTCACTTACAATCTACATTAGCCATCCGTTTCCAAAAAAAAAGAGTTCTAATTGTTCAGACTCCCTCTATTATGCTGAGCCCTTGATCTAGTAGTATATCTATAGCTTACTCTTTCCTGATTTATCTGCGCCACCCTCCTCAACCCACAGACTCTGGGTCTGCTTCATGGTTTCTAGAGCCTCACGCTCGATACGGCGGAGCAATTCCTCGTTGGTGGGGATATCGTGAATGAGGCCAATGACTTGACCCGCTGTCCAGACCTACGAATTTTTCATCAGCATACTCATCTCCCCCCTTTCGTAACGAAAGAAAAAAGAAAACGAAGGTAGTCAAAAAAACTTACACCAAAATCCGGATCCCCATTCAAAAACACCTGTCTCCCCCTCTTCCCACTCACATACTCAGCCACCTCCTCAAACTTGCCCGTCGGACTCGTCTTCTCCACCTCGACCGCCTTGAGCGCCACCTTGTTCGCAAACAACCGACTTGTATTCTTCCACCGCCGCAGCACCAGCGTCGTATCCGTCTCCTGCGCCTCGACAATGCTCCGCTTGATATTCTCGTGAATCGGGGCTTCGACGGTGCACATGAAGCGCGTGCCCATATTGATACCGCAGGCGCCGAGGGCCAGTGCCGCCGCAAGGCCCTGGCCGTCTGCGAACCCGCCAGAGGCGATAAAGGGAATGCCGAGGGATTGGCGGGCGCGCGAGAGCAGGATGAAGTTTGTAATGTCTGTTTCGCCAACGTGGCCGGCGCACTCGAAGCCGTCGATGGAGAGGAAGTCGACGCCGAGTTTGATGGCGGATTGGGCGTGGCGGATGGTGGTGCATTTGTGGAGGATGGTGGTGCCTGCGGCTTTGAGCTGTTTGATTATCGGGCCCGGGTTGTTGCCTGCCGTTTCCACGATGCGCACTTTTTCGTCGATGATGACGCGTGCGTAGGCGGCGTAGTCGGGGGGCACCATGGCGGGGAGGAAGGTGAGGTTTACGCCAAACGGGTTCTTGGTCATTGTGCGGCAGCGGCGGATCTCTTTGCGGAGGTCTTCGGGGGTCGGTTGGGTGAGGGCTGTGAGCTGTGTTCGTCCATGGTGAGCAGGCTGGAGACTGTGGGAGAGTGGTTTGTGGTGATGGGAGGATGGGAGGAAGAAGGAGGGGAAGACGTACAATTCCCAGACCTCCAGCATTGGATACGGCGGATGCAAGCTCAGCGTAGCCTACCCATTGCATGCCCCCTTGGACTATAGGCACTGTTCCATCCCATCAGTAACAAGGTCGCACGTGCTTAATGTCGACGTGTGAAGAAGGGTCAAGAGCATACCTCTAATGCCGAGGGCCTTTGTGAGCTCAGTATGGAAAGGCATATTTGACACTCTCTACCCCTTTTCTAACGAAATCGACAAAGAAGAAAAGATGACAGATAGAAAGTCTAGAGAAGACAAGTCTAGCAAAGGTAGTGAAGGCAATCTGAACCTCCAGCACGCGCTAACCTGCAGCCGTTGCGCGCATGTTCGTAACATGTGGGGAAAGCCGTGTACCGAGGCAACTCTGGGGAGACGCGACACCAAACGAGTATCCAGATCCGTGCAAGGCTTACTGTGGACATGGCCGTAGGTCTTGGCCAGATCTCGCATTCGCATGATTCGTTGCCAGTGAAGCGACTTGCCTGGTGACACCTGAGAACGCGGGACTTGCCGCTGGCCGGGGACGGCGTTTTCGGTAAATGCATAAAAGGTAAAGTAGCGGTAAAGCCAGAAAGGCAACAAGAGTGGAAAAAGCATACCTATTCCGCGGCTATCTCTGCAGTAACAGAAGCTCAAAAATATTGCAATACAAGAACAGAGAGCACCTATAGATGAGATAAGTGGCTCGCTCTGTATATGCCACTCAAATTGGAGTTTCAGGCATAGGCATCTACTCTCTGTCGTAGTGAAACTACCCAGCTTTTGGGGTAACCAAGCTGTGTTCAGCCACGATTTCCTGAATTGCTGGAAGCGCTGTTGTTACTTCACGACTGTCGTAAGGGCCACATCATTCATGTCAATGCGAATACAGATATTGTGATGCAGGGCCGGTCTTAGCTGTCTTGCAACATCAGCGACGCTGTCACATGCAGTTAGCTTCCAACCTTCACATCTCACCCTTTCCAACCCGGATCTTGACCTGGATCACACACAGTCACACACACTCATCTTCAACAAAATTATGCATTACTTTCATATCCACTTATCTTGCGGGCCAAAAAGAAAGAACCAGGAGCCACAACAACCGCGTACGCAAATGTGCCTTTACCCGTTTCCTCTGTCTGTCAATCCAACACCGTGAAGTCGTCGTAACCCCAACGACTCGAATGCTTCTTTTTATCGTGACAAGGGGGGGTTCCACCATCCGGAACCCCCGCCCTATAAAAAAACGTGGCAATTACAAGAAAGTATGAAATGGGTCGCCCCTTCCAGGAAAAAGGGAAATGTCATCTTGGTGAAATAGGGGTGTAGAAGCCGAAGTAGGCGGTAAGCATGGCTTCTGTTGTCGTGGATCTATCGAGGTGGAATCTGGCTCTGAAGATGCCAGAACCATACAAGCATCATGGCTTTGCTCAAGAAATTGTGGATGGGGATGCATCCGCCCGATTATGGTCGCGTTACTGTGGAGGATGGTCCTGCCCACAGCCAATTGTTTGGCGTATCGAATCGTCGCCCTCTTGCGCCACAACATGCGGAGCATCTGCAAAGTTAAACTTAGGCCTTGCGACTCCTGGTAGCACGTCCGTTGGGAGTACCGTTAGGTGAGGATCCTGTGGTAATGCCATTAGCAACGCCTACAACACGCGAAGTGGAGAGACGCCTGCGGGCTTCACCAACAGTCGGTACCTTCTCATCCTTCATCTCCACCAACGCGCTTGTAGCCCTGCGGCGGCCCTTGGGCACCGGCTTCTTGTACGTGGCGAAGTAGAAGGCGAGGAAGAGGAACAGGTACGACGTGATGATGCACATGCCAGCAATAGCAGCGAATTCCTCGCCTGCACATTTGCCAAAGTTGGGCATGTTTGGCCAGTAGGTGCTAGTGAAGTATGTGTAGGATGCGAAGTAGATGAAGCCTGGAGGGGTGTTAGCCGTCGGTAGCCAACTGCAAGACTTCTTGTAGGGGTTGCCTTACCGAGATCAAGAACGAATTGCACAATCTGGCCAACAGTAATGTACTTCTTCCACCAGATTCGGATGCCGCGTGCGCTCTGAAAGTAGTACCAGTACATGACGACGTGAACTGCCAAGTTCAAGGTGATGACGGGCCATGAGACAGGGGTGTGACCGAGCAACTGGGTGTAGCAGAGGAGAGCGGTCGCGCCATGATGGTAGGTGTGGAGGAAGGCTGGTTCAAGTTAGCTGCTGAGACTTTCTTTTTTTTTTCTTGCTCTAGAGCTTGCGCAGTCTTACTCAAAGGCTTCTTCTTCAAAAACAGAAAACAGGTGTCAATCAGCTCGAGGAACTTGGTAAGGTAGTTGAGCTATGCAGGTCAGCATCGTTGAACCAATTTTTTGCGCGCGACCAGACCTACGTAGTACAAAATGACCAGCTTGTCAGTCCAGCCACCCTCGTGGTCGCAGATGGCGAAGAAAAGACCGTTGCGGGCGACCGTGGGAATCAATTGCTCGGCAAACAGGGCGAGCAGGATTCCGCTAATGGCCGTCAGGTAGAAATTGTGCACCTTGAAGAGGAAGTTGAGCTGGAAGGGTGCGCGCTCGCGCATAAGCTCTCGGCCGCCAAAGATGACGATGTAGTAGGTGATGATTGTGATGGCGCACGACTTGAACGTGGAGAGAGGCGTCTCTCCCTGGACGAAGCGGAAGTCCTGCGGCTTGTAGCCAGCGATGGGCTCGAAGACGCGCTCAAAGATGGGCCATAGCTCGAGGCCAAATGGGCGGTCGAGCGTCGGCACGCCGTAATGAATCCAGCCGGCACCCATGATGGCAAAGTAGGTACAAGGCCTTGCAATTGTATAGTTGTGTGAAGAGGGTTTGGTGTTGGTGAGCGACCGGGGACACTTGCGGAGAGAGAGAGAGAGAGAGAGAGAGAGAGAGAGAGAGATTTCCACCGTTCGCGGCCGAGCAAGCAGGGCAGCTAGCTATAGGGTAGTGGATAAACAAGGAAACCGCAGCACGAAGAGAGGAGGCGGCAGCGGCCAGAAGGAGCGACGACGAAGAAGAAGATTAAGAAGAAGAAGAAGAAGAAGAAGAAGAAGAAGGGGGATGTATGTGTGAAGAGGTCAATGGTAGAATGGTACAACAGTGCGGACGAGAATGTGTCAGAGGTTTTGAAGGGCCAATCCACCGATTGTTTTCCTAGTGCTCGTTGCGGAAAGGAGGTCGGAAATGAATGCTGGGGGGGGGTCTTCCAAGGTTCCGCGACTCCCGTAGGCTGCGGCTGGTCCAGTGTGCTGCATCTGGGGTTAGCCCAACCTTGGAAGCTGCCATCTGTTTCGCTCCCAATTTGCTCGTCGGAAAAATGACAACGAAGTGTGCAGCCGCGGTGAATGCACGTTTGCTGATTGGCCACCCTACTCAACAAATGCTGCGTAGTACTGTAACGTACCTACAGTACAGTACCTCGTAGAGTAGAGTACATAGTCTATCTAGAAATGCATCCTACCATAGACGGACTACTCTATACTATCTACAGGTACTAGATGTGGTTTGCTGTGCAAGTACCGGTAGGTCGACCAGTGAGGTACCGGTACCCCCCACGCCCCCAGCCGCTACTCTAGAGGACGACTTGGGGTCATCATCGGGATAGAGGGAATGCTGCATCCTCTTCCAAGGCTTGTGATCAGCAAACAAGACGGTCACTGTTTGAACACATCATCATGGAACCAAGGCCATCCGTTCAAGGAAGAGAGGTAGGGTATTAGTAGGTACGGATATCTTGGCATCCGATGACCGACGCCTTGCCGCTCACAGGCCCACACCACCACACAGTACTTGCCTAGACTCCCTAGCCCTCACATGCATACCGAATCATACTACCTATATCCTGACAGTGGCCACCTATACACTTCACTTCATCTTCCACTTGTACCAGCATCCCCCCCTCCCAAACTGTCTTTTGCATGTCTTCACATTGTCTATCAATCGCGAAAAAAGGTTCCGCGTGCTGCCATCTCACCTCCGCCCAGTCATCACAGTTCCCCCCCCCAGTACACAAACCCCTGCTCTGAACGCCCTTTATGAAATCCATCTTATTTTGGAGTCAAAACCAGAAAACAAAATACGCATCCGCAATCCGCTCGTGAATGCCCAACACACACACACACCCCACAGTCGCACCACCATCGCAACTGCTTTCCCCACCCTCAACGTCATACAATGTGCCTCAGAAACGGTTGAAAAGAAGAGGAAAGAAGAGAAGAACAACTATGTAGCCAAAGTAATGAACCCGTAATCAACCCACTTTCGGAATGCTGCCACCACCAGAGTTGGCTCTTGCACGTCCGCTGGGCGCCCGAGAAGCGACAACAGGGTTGCCAGAAGAATTAGGACGGCTGTTGCTCCGCGGTCGACCAGCCGGGCGCCGAGCACTGGATACGTGATGCTCCTGCGATGTGTGATGCCGGCGCTGCAAAGACGCAAAGCACGAGACGTCAGATCAATCCACCTGTGAACCCAAAATGCAAACACACTCTTGAACAAGGGAAGGAAGAAGAAATAAAAAACCTAGTAGTCTAGGGATACGATTAAGAGGTACATTGATTCGGCCATAGAGAATGCTCATCCTGCGTTCCAAGGACTTCAGAATCAACGTACCGAGGTTTGACTACTCTGGCGCTCATATTCCTTGGGCCGCCTGTCTCTCGGGGCGGCGCCGCCGTCGTCTTGCAGACGGAGGTTTTCCAGTCGCCCTTGACTGAGCGGGTCGGAATCATCTAAGCGCATGGGCGACGCAGCAGTCGCCGGGTTGACTGCTGCCTTCTCTACTGTCCCATTCTGGCGCGCTTCCGCAAGCTTCGCGAGCTTGTCCCACCGATCCTGCCGACTTTGCTGTCTTTGACCAGCATTGTTTTGCGATTCGGCGTAATCATGGGAACAATCGTCGAATAATTGAGGGTTGACTTCCATGAAAAGTTTCATGGCATTGTATACCATACCGTGAATGGTCCTGTGCCAAGAATTAGTGGCTAATTGTGATGCAGACTCAGAGCTGCAAACATACCTGTTCCAATGTCCCTTGGAATTCTCATAGAGAGGCGCGAACATGATGGGTAAAATGACCTCGACATTGTCACTGACGAGGTTGCAGAAGTATTCATTGTTCCAAAAGTAAAGTGCCCTCTCGGCAACCTGGAAGTGAGGGCTGGCAACAGACTTGGCCAACTGGTTGAACAATGGCTCCTGGACCTTTGCAAATTCGGCAGGATCCATGACCTCGAAGATGTCCTCGACCTCGTTCAGGAACATGACTTCTTTGGTGCTGTTCACCTTGGGCCAGTAGCGTAGTAGCCCGAGGACAACCTGAACATGTAAGCCAAGCCTATTAGAGCGACTGTATGGTCCTACCTCTTCTGTCAAGGCGGCATCCTTTTCCAAAAACTGGACAATACAGTACGCCAACTGAGGGTGATACATGCTCAGACTCTTCACTTTGTGTAATGGAATGAGCACTCGTGTGAGGAAGAGCTTATGTTCTTCCTTCAACGGTAGGGCAAAACCGTTGATAATCGATCCAAGAATCTCCAAGAGCTCGGCGATTCCATTGAAGCGTTCTGTTTCGTAGATGAACTGGAAAAAGACATTGTTGATGGAGCGTCGAATGTAGGAGCGGAGATTGAGAAACTTCCCGTAGATGCGATGCAGTGTGGTTTTCAGGAAGTCGCGCTCTCGGGGATCCTCAGAGTCGAACAATTCGAGAAGCTTCAGTTGATTAACCAATGTTCTTGCCAATTTGGAGACAGTAGTCACTTACATTGAGAACAAAACTGTGGTCTATGTATGCCTTGGCGATATTGGTGTTGAAGTCCTGACTTTCTATGAATCGAAGGAAGAATTCGTAAACGACCTGAATATGTGGCCATGCGACCTCGAGAACTGGCTCGTCCTCATCAGGATCAAAAGCCTCGCCTTGTGGATTCATGGGCGGCGGAATGGGCCTGAACAGGTTCTTGGCAAACATCTCAACTACTCGGGGGTACATCTTTTCCGTGATGACCTGTCTGTTGTTGGCGACATAGTCGAGAAGCTCGTGCAAGGCCAAGCGCTTGATCTCCTTGGACTTCATGTCGCCACTTGCGTCGTTGAAGTCGAATATGATGTTACATTGGTCGATCTTCTGCATGAAGAGCTCCTCACGCTTGTTTGGAGGCACTTCATGGAACCCAGGCAGCTTCTCAAGCTCTCGCTGACGTTGATCTGAGATGTCGAATCGTGACGAATGTTGCCTCTTGGGTGTCCTCAAGCCCTCAATGTTGTCCTTGGGCGTGGCCTGCAAGCGGTCGAAGATGAGAGACTTTTGGCCCGCCTTGGGAGGCGCAAGATCGCCGGGCATCGTCTCAGCAGCGCCTGGGGGAGGAATGTGCTGGGAAGATTAATACTTGAGCTGTTGTGGAGGAGAGCAGGTACTCACAGGAGCGCTAGGGCTGATAATAACACTGGGTGCCAGCGGCTGCCCAAGCCGGGAAGGAGTGCCTGGGCCGGCAGCGCCAGCGTTACCAGCAACGGCAGGACTCATGACGCCTTGCTGTCCAAACTGTGGCCCTGCCGCGAGCGAGCCAGAGACGGGTTGTGGATTTGGTTGCGACGGGCCCGCATGGCCTGCAGGGGCTTCCACGGCCGGCTGGATCTTGTTGCGCGCATCGGTGAGCTGGGTCTGCGACGAAGAAGGGGTAGCTTGGGCTGAGCCCGAGGGCGAATTGGAGGAACCGAGAGAGGGCGAGGCGGTGCCAGAGGTCGAGTCTTTCTTCTTCGAGGACTTGCTGTCCTTGCTTCGAGAGAGCTGTTCAGACTAGATATGTTAGCTTCCGCGCATAAGAGAGGGGTAAGGCCCACGGAGAAGGACTTCGGTGGAGGCGAGATAGACGCTACTTACGACTCGTTGCCTGAAGCCCTTCATGGCGGCGAGGCTACGCGCGAGAGCACGTCAAGCGCTGCGGAGATATGTTGCGGAGGCGGAGCGGTCCGAATTGGGGGGCTGGCCCTCGAGGCGATTGCAACGAGATCGCGATCCAACAGCGCCAATGCAGCACGGAACTCGAAGGCGCTCTCAGCTTCGCGGAAACGGAGAAGGGGGGGAGGCGAGAATGCTCAGGCTGGCATGGAGGAGGAGGATGAACGCGAGATATGCGTGACCGTGGGCTAGTGCGGCTGTCGTCGATGCACGGGGTCGGCGACGAGGGAGGAGCTGGCAGGCTGGAGGGGTTTAGAGGGCAGTTGGGGGCGCTGGGAATCACGTGGAGGGTTGTTCTGCGGACGCGGGTAGGTGAGCAGTAGCGGGGAGAGGTGCGTGAAGAGGAGGATGTGCGCGGTAGGACGTCCAACATATGCCAACTCAGGGCCACAGATAGACAGACAGACAGACAGCCAGCGTGATGGACACAGACAGCGGGTAGTTCGAGATTGGCACTAGCCGTGCCGGTAGCGAAACCGCCTGTGCCCGTGCGCCCGAGAGAGAGAGAGAGAGAGAGTGAGGAGGGGATGAAGGACCCCGCCGCGCACTCGCCACAGCAACCACTGCAGGGTGCGAGGAAAGCATGGCGGCTGAGCGTGCAGCAAGAAGAGATGCGAAGGATAGAGGCGTAGTGAGAGAGACAGAAAGAAAGATAGAGGGCGGGGAGGGCAACTCCTATAGCCAGAAGCGACGTAGTCGTGAGATAATCTGATCAATTGCTCCCTTCGAAGACATGAAGTAGATGGATCCCTGTCTCTCTCTATTTCACTCTCACTCTCACTCACTCACCTACTCACACGCTGTCTGTGTGTGTGTGTGCACTGAAAAATTTGCGACGCACACCTCCTCGCCTATATCGTAGAGAAGTCTGCTTGGGGTAGTGCCCTGCAGTGCTGCACCCACGCACTCCCGCCATGAGCAGCGACCACACATCGCTGCTACAAAGAAGAAGACGCCATGGTGAACAGACTACTGCGCCATGGCTGCCCATTCCATCGCGCGCCATCTCTGTCGTGGAGCACCCATGCATCATCAAGAACGTTGACAAGGGCATCACCTCGTTGGGCGGGCCAGTCAAACTGAGCAAGGTCAGCAGGAGGAGCGCTTGGTGTGCCACAGTGCCTGGCTAATCCGCTGCACAGGGCTTGCGGTCAAGCTTGGAAACCACCACCAACATAGACGGCGACGATGAGCTCAAGAAACTCATCTCCGTCTCACTGCGCCCAGACGACCCCTTCGCTAAGCGGTTACTGTCTACCCCTGTGAGGACCAACAACCTACTCCTCAAGGTCACGGTGCCTAAACGAACAGGACGAAAACGAAAGCGTGGATCATCCGGGCCCTTCTTGACCGAAGATGAGATCCAGCGAACTGATGGCCACGACTTGCGCGCAAACCGCTCTGGCTCTGGCAAGAGTAGTACTTATGTAGATGCTTCAACGGTCTTCCGAACCTTGCAAGACAATGCATCGACTTACAAAGTTGCCCTTGCAGGTATCGTAGATGAGACTCATAGATTTCGAAGTAAGTAGTGAGCCTCTGATCTTAGACCCTTGACACTGATTGTGCCAGGCATGCCTGATATACAGTACACCGCTTCTCGCAATGACACAATGATTGAACTCAGGGACCATGTATTGTCAAAGAAATGTACGACTCCCCGTTAGGCCATCTCTCCTCCCACTGACACACGGCCAGATGAGCAACTGAAAAATTACGCTCCGAACACCAAAGCTGGCGCGGATCTCGGCAAGAGTATTGGCCCTTCTGCAGAATATATACAAATGCCAGTCGCATATAATTATCGGTAAGCTCAAGGCCCCACTAGATCCGAGCATGCGCTAATGTTACAACCCAGTTTTCAACAGAACACTTTTGTCAAATACACTGATCGAGGTATTGTCAATCTGCAGAGGAGCATAGCATACCACGGTTACACTATCATCAAACCTACTGATGAAAGTGTTCCCAATGGGCCTAAATCTACATTGCCACCCGAGGAATCTCTCACTCCATATCTGCAGACCTTGGTCAAGCAAATCAAAGCCGAGCTGGTCAAGAGACCCATAATTACCCGGCATTTACTCTACAACAAACTTGGTTGGGACAAGCGCACCAAGTTGAGGCAAGCAGCTGTATATTGTGGCTACTTCTTCGAGAGTGGACCGTGGCGCGAGGCTCTGATCCGCTGGGGTGTTGATCCCCGCAAGGACCCTGCGTTTCGCAGATATCAGACAGTATCCTTCCTGTCATATCTCAAATCAGGGATGACCAAGCACAACAAGACCTTCGATCAGCACGTCTATGCGCTTAGCAGGATGTCAAAAGAGGAGCTGGAGACACAACACACCTTTGATGGCACCAACGTCTCCCAGACTGGCAATCTCTTCCAGTTTTGCGACATCACAGACCCGCTCATTGCGAAAATACTAGCTACAAAGGACATCAGAACGACATGCGCGCCAACCTTCCAGGGATGGTACCACGTTGGTACTTGGGCAAAAGCGACAGTCATCCTCAAGGATAAAATGAACACAATATTAGCCAAAGGAGTCTCCGACGATTCCATCTATCAGCGCATCATAGCCTGGCCTGAGCTTTGGGATGATCAAGAGATTGCCGCTCAATACAGAGAGGAGATTAATGATCGTGCAATTCACCGGGAAAAGAAGAGGGAGCACGACGTCATGCACAGCGTGCGATGGGCAGCAAGAAACCCAAGATATGCTTTCGAGAAGATGGAGACGCCTGGTCAATCGCTGCGCGAAGCGGATGATGATGGAGTTTCCGAAGATCTGGACGAACCAGAGGACCCTGATGTTCCTGAAGATTCCACCGAAGCACCCGTCACAGCCGATGCTATTCTCGATGACAATAGTGGAGACTCTGATGGTGAGGAGCGCGATGACGAGGATGGTCAAGAGGACGGGGACGGATCTCAGGATGAGGACGATGATCAGGATGAAGATGTAGACGGCGTATGGGAGGCTGATGACGACGAAGACGACGACGACGACAGTTTTCCCTTGATGTCCGGACATGAAGTCTCCGAGGGTCCAAGACCATTCGGTGGCCTCTACAGAGTCTGATGGCGCATTATAGCATTGGTGGACAGGTCGGCTGGAGCAGTGTCAGGCAGGAAATAGTAGAATCCCTGGGATCGTTCTGATACAATAATGCAGAATCCAACCGTTCGAACCTCTTCATTTGATTGATCAGTATTCCCATAAAAGCATGCAGTTTTTCAATATTGTGACAAAACAAAACAAACCTATCTGACGACCATGTCGTCAGTTTCAGGAACGCGAGAGACCCACTTTCCGCGCTTGGCATGGACGCAACTCGGATCCCAAGCTTTCGTTTTCCCAGAACCTCACCTCCAGGTCACACCACTCCGCACCGCCGTCCTACCACCACACAGTCGGCTACGCACGCCCATTAGCCTTGCTATCCGCTCTCGAAGCCCTCGACCAGCTAATTGTCCAAAACGCAACATGTCCTTCGTCCGCGCTACCTCAGTCATCAGCCGTGTAGGCGTGCGAGCCCCGGCCTACCGAGCCACTCCGGTTGCGTGGAGCGTTCAGCGCGCTGCGTTTTCGCAGTCGGCCGTTAGAAAAAGCGAGGACGCGCATGCTGAGGAGACTTTCGAGGAGTTCACGGCCAGGTATGACACCATTGGGAGGGAATGTGGGGTACGGGCTGGGGAAGGAGTCACCCGAGGACGGCGGGCAGCCATTGGGTCCTGGAAAAGACGAGGAGCTGTACCGCTAACGTTTATTTCCGTGGAATAGATACGAGAAAGAGTTTGAAAAGGTGAACGATGTTTTCGAACTTCAGGTACGTTCATCCTGCCTGTTCTTGGAAAACCCAGACATCTCCCGAGGCGCTCGAAATTCAAATGGAAGCATTGGGAATTGGGAACTGGGAATGAGGAACACGCAGCTGACATGTGTGCAGCGTAACTTGAACAACTGCTTCGCCTACGATCTGGTTCCCTCTCCATCTGTCATCACCGCCGCTCTTCGCGCCGCCAGGCGTGTCAACGACTTCCCTTCGGCAGTGCGAGTTTTCGAGGGTACGTTATTACCCAATCATGCGCAGAAATATTATGCAGAGCCAATTGGCGCAAGTTTGCATGTTTTCCACACGATTGATGGAACGAATAAACGGCCTGCAAAATTATAGAACCTATCACACTAACCCTACCAAATAGGTATCAAGTTCAAGGTTGAGAACAAGGGCCAGTACGCAGAGTACCTCCAAGAGCTCGAGCCAATACGCGAGGAGCTCGGCATTCCCCTCAAAGAGTCGCTGTACCCCGATGAGAAGTAGACGGATTGACTAGCACGTCCTTTGCTACCCCGCGTTTTTTCTTTCTCGCTTTCAGCGATTGAGTATTGTCGAGCATGGAAGCGCTCGTATTAAAGCCGACATATCGATTACGTACGTCTGATGGAGTTGGAATGGACAGGGAGGCGGGTGTGTGTTACTACCTATGGGATAGTGATGGTTTCGCGTGGGTGGCTGCGGTTGCTAGATGAAGGCGGAATGACGCTTAGTAGATGTACAGATTTCATTGACTTTGGATGTTGGGGAGTTTTTTTGAATGCAGCACATGCACTACTGCTTTTGACATGAGGTGACGTGGGTATGTTGTGTGCAGGGAGTGGCAGTGTATGAATTGGTGCTGTACTTGACCAGAATCAAGAGGATCTATTCTGCAACCAGATTCGGACACTGTGTAGCAGGTAGGAGAGATGTTTACTGGTTGACTGGTCTGGCCCATGTTATGCCATTGCAGCAGGGAGCCAGCTTCGTAGGTAGGGATAGGTGGAGTAGTAGAGTACTTGAACTGAGGCTCACGTGCAGCATGCTGACTAACACCTGGCACAGTCCCATCTTGGCCGCAGCAGCCACTAAGAGAGGACGGAGCTTATCAAACGCCGATAATGCTGGCTGCCTGTGCGACTATGCCTAAAGAGGTGCTGGGCTGGCAAGGCACGATCGTCGCGACCAGCCAATCAAATGCTAGCGTAAAACGGTTCAGGGTTTTGGGCTTCCCCGTCGTTCGTCGCTTGAGTGCTCGCAGTGCAGAGCTTAAGTCGCGAAAGGTGAGCCAGCAGCACCTGCTGGACGCGATCTGCACCCATACACCAAACCAACCCTCCCCTCATTCCTTCTCGCCTAACGATTGTAATGACCCTCTCGGCTTGAGAGCCACTGCTGTCCTTTTCGGATCCTACTTTTAATCACAATTCCATCTGCTGCCAGGCCCATCACTCATCACTAGCCATCCGTCGCTGTGCTTGCGAAGCGAATGCGCCTGCCGCCAAAGCTCAAACCTCGTTGCTCACAGGACAATCTGGATAGACACGTGTGCAGCCGACACAGTCTGGAGGGGCTCTGAGGAGCGGGACGAGCGGGCGACGTGCTGCACACCACACCGCCGCCATGGCGACTGTCAACTTTGAGGCCATGGCCTCGAAGCTGGACGATCCAAGTTCCGGTACAGCAACACTGCCGAGCTGCACTTTGCGCCTGCACATGGCTGCGCCTGCAGATTGAGGGCATATTAAGGCTGACTGGTGCAGATCTACGAACAAAAGTGGCTCAGGCGATAGAGATTCGGGACAACATCGAGAGCTATTGTCAAGGCCAGCAGTATGCCGTCTTCCTGAATCATCTGGTCCCAGTCTTTCTCAAGATACTGGATGGCAACCCAGTCTTCATATCCACCTCTCCGGAACAGGTGAGTGCGCCATGAGCAGGACGGCAGCCTAGTCCCCATTGTCTGACTTGTGACTACAGCGAATACGAAATTGCGTCCTCGAGATATTGCACCGACTGCCCATGAACCCGACCGAGGCGATAGAACCGCACGCTGCCAAGATTGTCGACAAGCTCATGAGCCTGGTCAAGCTGGAGAATGAGGACAACGCGGTTCTGTGTATGAAGACCATCATGGACTTCCAGCGACATCAGACGAAAGCACTTGCGGACCGCGTACAGCCATTCCTCGATCTGATCCAGGAAATGTTTCAAACCATGGAACAGGCTGTAAACGACACGTTGGACAACAATACCGCCGCGCCAGCCTCGCAAGGCGTACCCTCGACCCCGAACACACAACAGTATTCACAGTCTCCGCGACCGAGCTCGCCGGCAACTGTGCTGACCTCGGGATCGGCAGGCGATTTGGGGTCGGAACACCAACAGACGCGCATGCTTTTGAAGGGGATGCAGTCATTCAAGGTGCTCGCCGAGTGCCCCATCATTGTGGTCTCACTGTTCCAAGCATACAGGAACTGCGTGAACAAGAATGTAAAACTTTTTGTTCCACTGATAAAGAATGTCCTGTTGCTCCAGGCAAAGCCGCAAGAGAAGGCGCATGAGGAGGCCGAAGCTCAGGGTAGGATATTCACAGGTGTCAGTAAAGAAATTCGGAACCGTGCGGCATTTGGAGACTTCATTACGGCACAGGTAAAGACCATGAGCTTCCTGGCCTACCTACTGAGAGTGTACGCAAACCAGCTGAACGACTTTCTCCCCACACTTCCACAGATCATCGTACGGTTGCTAAAGGACTGCCCGCGGGAAAAGTCTGGCGCGCGTAAGGAGCTTCTCGTCGCCATTCGGCACATCATCAATTTCAACTTCCGCAAGATATTCCTCCCGAAGATTGATGAGCTATTGGATGAGCGAACTTTGATCGGGGACGGCCTCACAGTATACGAGACTATGCGGCCATTGGCATATAGTATGCTTGCAGATTTGATACATCATCTGCGCGACTCGCTATCCAAGGAACAGATTCGCCGCACTGTAGAGGTGTACACGAAAAACCTCCATGACAGTTTTCCGGGAACAAGCTTCCAAACTATGAGTGCCAAGCTCTTACTCAACATGGCAGAGTGCATTGCAAAGTTAGAGCCAAAGGAGGACGCTCGATACTTTTTGATTATGATCCTGAATGCAATTGGGGATAAATTCTCGGCGATGAACCGTCAGTACCACAACGCTGCAAAGCTATCAGCGCAGTACAGCCAGCCTTCCATCGACGCAGTGGACGAGAATCACATGGCTGTTCAGGAAAATCCTCCGGACTGGGACGAGATTGACATATTCAATGCCACACCCATCAAGACGTCTAATCCTCGAGATAGGAGCTCTGATCCTATCGCCGATAATAAGTTCTTGTTCAAGAACTTGCTCCACGGCTTGAAAAATCTCTTCTACCAATTGCGCGCTTGCAATCCATCGAAAATTAAGGAAGAAATCGATGCGGCGAATGCATCTGCCAACTGGCATGAGGTGTCCTATGGCTACAACGCAGAAGAGGTGGAAGTCCTCATCAAGCTCTTTCGAGAGGGTGCAAAAGTATTCCGCTATTACGGATCTGACAAGGGCCCCGAGACGCAAGGCCTGTCTCCAGGTGACTACATGGGCAACCAGCATATGATGTCAAGCGGCAAAGAAGAGAAGGAGCTCTTGGAGACCTTTGCGACAGTCTTCCACCACATTGACCCGGCTACGTTTCATGAAGTGTTTTCATCCGAGATACCCCATTTGTATGATATGATGTTCGACCACCCAGCGTTGCTCCACGTTCCTCAGTTTCTTCTCGCTTCCGAGGCAACCTCGCCTAGCTTTTCTGGCATGTTGCTACAATTTCTGATGGATCGGATCGAGGAAGTGGGAACAGCGGATGTTAAGAAGTCTTCTATCCTACTCCGACTTTTCAAACTTTCCTTCATGGCTGTCACCCTCTTTTCCGCGCAGAACGAGCAGGTGCTCTTACCACACGTCAGCAAGATCATCACGAAGTCGATCCAACTCTCAACCACAGCCGAGGAGCCGATGAATTACTTCTTGTTGCTTCGTTCACTCTTCCGTAGTATTGGCGGCGGCCGATTCGAACATCTCTACAAGGAGATCCTCCCGCTTCTTGAGATGTTACTGGACGTGCTTAACAACCTCCTTCTTACGGCACGCAAGCCAACAGAACGGGACCTCTTTGTTGAGCTATCTCTTACGGTGCCGGCGCGACTCAGCAATTTGCTTCCACACTTGAGTTACCTTATGCGACCGTTGGTCGTAGCTTTGCGCGCAGGATCTGATCTTGTCGGTCAAGGCTTGCGCACGCTTGAGCTTTGTGTTGACAATCTCACTGCGGACTACCTGGATCCCATCATGGCGCCTGTCATTGACGAGTTGATGGCTGCATTATGGGAACATCTCAAACCAAATCCGTACAGCCATTTCCATGCTCACACGACGATGCGCATTCTAGGCAAGCTTGGTGGACGAAATAGAAAATTCATTACTGGGCCACCAGAGCTCAATTTCAAGCCTTACTCGGATGATCAGTCGTCTATCGACATACGACTCATCGGCTCTACCAAGGATCGTGCATTCCCCGCCGATATTGGTATCGATGCTGCCATTGCCAAACTACATGAGATCCCCAAGCTGCCAGCTGCCAAGAAATCGGACGCTTTTCACAAGCAACAGGCGTTTCGCTTCGTCACAGCACACACCAAGCTCATGGTCGGTTTTGACAGCTTGCCAGAAGACTTTGCGCAGCTTGTACGGTTGCAAGCTACTGACTTGAGCGCGAAGAAATTCGATGCTGGAATCGATATTCTGACAGCCACTCAACGAGAAAAGTCTGTCACCAAGAAGGGAGTCGAGCAGGATACACTGAAGAAACTATTGAAAGCCTCCATCTTCGCAGTGTCTATACCAGATCTAAATCCAGAGGCGGAAGCATTCGTGGCCAATCTGGCGCGACACTTTACCCTTCTTGAGCTAGGGACGCAATTCGCAACACTGAAGCATAAGAACAAGCCATTTGATGTGCATTCGGGTGAAGGCCCTGTTGTCATTGATAGCGACGTCATCTCCGAGGCGATTGGGGAGTCGCTTGCTTCAGAGCATGGCGCTGTGCGTGATGCAGCTGAGCAGGCCATTATGACAATGCGGGACGCCGTCAAGGCAATCTTCGGCAACGATGCGCACCTCGACAAGTTTGCATTCTTCAATGAGCTCTCCAGTACCTTCTGCCATAACTGTCACGCCGAAGACTGGTTCATGAAATCCGGCGGAACACGGGGTATCGAAATCATGATCAAGCAGCTAGGCCTTCCTCAATCTTGGATGGTAGCTCGACACTTCCAACTCGTCCAGGCTCTCAACTTCGTCATGAAGGACATGCCTGTTGATCTCGATTCCAAGACTCGTATACAGGCTGAAGGTCTTATTGAAGATTTGATACGACGGTGCCACAAGAAGACCACAAAGGAAGAATTCGAGAAGGGCAACAACATCACTCTGCGGCTGTGTGGACAGCTAGTCGGCGACTTATCACACATGAACAAGAGCGTTCGTGAAGCAACACAGAAGTCTTTTCTTGTTCTTTCGCAAGTCACCGAACTGGAAGTCAGTGAACTGATTTCTCCCGTCAAAGACAGGCTGATTGTACCTATCTGGACGAAACCTCTCCGAGCACTACCATTTGGAATACAGATTGCCTACATCGACGCCATCACATTCTGTCTGAAGCTCAAGAATAACATTCTCGAATTCAACGATCAGCTCACCAGACTGCTTATGGAATCTTTGGCCCTGGCAGACGCAGAAGATGAGGGTCTGGCAAGCAAACCGTTCGAACAGCGCAACGCAGAGCACATCATCAATCTACGTGTTGCCTGTATTCGACTCCTATCCACCGCGCAGAGCTTCCCAGAGTTCAGTACCACACCGCCAAACCAGACCTTCCTACGTATTATTGCGGTGTTCTTCAAATGTCTCTATTCCAAGTCACCTGAAGTCATTGATGCAGCAAATATTGGCTTGTCAGGTGTAATATCAGCAACCAATAAGCTACCCAAGGATGTTCTGCAGAGTGGTCTACGACCAATCTTGGTGAATTTGCAAGATCCACGGAAGCTCTCCGTCGAGAACTTGGACGGTTTGGCCCGTCTCTTGAAGCTACTTACCAATTACTTCAAGGTAGAAATAGGTACCCGCCTTTTGGACCATTTGAAGAGCATCGCGGACCAGAACAGCTTGCAGAAGATTTCTTTCACCATGGTGGAGCAAAACCCGAAGATGAAGATTGTCACTGGCATCTTCAATATTTTTCACCTGTTGCCTCCAGCGGCGAGTACCTTCCTCAAGCAGATCATTGAGAAAGTCATTGAACTTGAGACCGCGTTACGACGAACGCATTACAGTCCATTTCGCGAGCCATTGATCAAGTATCTTTGCATGTATCCCAAGGAAGCATGGGACTACTTTATGCCAAATCTCAAAGACCGGACGCAAGGCCGGTTTTTCGCACAGTTACTAGAGAATGAGGCGAGTGCTGTTCTTCGAAAGCAAGTCATGGAAGATATTCCTGGGTTCTTGGCCGCGATGAATCCCGAAGGAACCGACAAGGAGAAGTGCCAAGCTCAACTGAACACGATTCATATTGCCTACGCCCTCAGTCAATTTGAGGATACCAATAAATGGCTGATATCGAGTAGCGATCTCCGCAAAGGTCTGTTTGAAGCTGCTCGATCACTAGAGCAGAAGCTTCGGAAGAATAGCATCGATTCCGACCTACGCTTGGCAACTGAACAAGCTGGCGACCAGATCATGATCATCTTCACAACCTACCTCAAGCACGAGCCAAATAACTTGGAATTCTTCTTCGAGCTTGTCGATGCCGTCACCGCCGAAGATCTAAAGGCTTCATCACGACTGTTCGATTTCATTTATCGAGAGATCGTTTCGAGCGAGTCTACTGATCATCTGAAGATGCTGGTCAATAAATGCATTGACTTGTACACATCACGCACCTCTTCACAGAAGACCAAGACTTTCATCTTCCGATACATCGTCAACCCTATCTTCGCCATGGACGTCAAGCGCAACTGGGACAGCTTGTTTGACGAAAAGTCCAAGGGTACCAAGCTCATGAACAAAGCCATGACTGATACTATTCACAACAAGCTCTGGATGCCGCAAGCGCTGATGGATACTTCAGAGGAGACTGCACAACTTGGCGTGGATCATTCCCGCATGGAGTTGCTACAATTGACGACTCTCCTGCTCAAACATTACTCTGGCATGGTGAACGAGGTTCGCAAAGATGTTATCAAATTTGCTTGGAATTACATCAAGCTTGAAGATATCATCAACAAATATGCGGCATACGCATTGATTGCATTCTTCATTGCACAATTCGAGACACCAATGAAGATAGTGATGCAGGTTTACTCGACATTGCTCAGGGCGCACCAGAACGAGGGCAGATCATTGGTAATGCAGGCACTTGAACTTATGGCTCCGGTAGTCAAGAAGCGCATGGGCGGCGGTGGCCCCAAGATGCCGCGATGGATCCAGATTCCCCGCAAGATCCTGGCTGAAGAGAGCTCCAACTTACAGCAGCAAATGAGCATCTTCAACTTTGTAGTACGACACCCTGATCTATTCTACGAAGGTCGCGAGCACCTATCATCGATCATTATCACTGCACTTTCAAAGATTGCGCAACCTCCGAATCCATCGACGGATGCCAAGAAGCTTGCGCTGAATCTGATCAGCCTTATACGCACCTGGGAGGAGAAGGCTGCAAATGAGGCCGATGGCTCCGTCGATCGCAAGTCAGAGTCGCCGCAATCACTCAAGAGAAGGGCTGATGGCACACTCATAAATCCAGGGCCAAGTGGCTTTGCTGCGTCGGTTGGTATTCGTATGATGTTGATCAAGTACCTCATCCAGTTCATCGCCTACTTGCCAGAACGTTTTCCCGTGGCGTCGCCAAAGCCAAAGGATGCAGTTGCAGTCATCACAAGCACAACTCAATCTGCCGAGATATGCAAAAAGGCTGTACAGCTGCTACACGACCTACTCTCCCCACGACTGTGGAGTGATTTAGACCTGGATTTGATGCTCACGAAGAAGATTGAGGAGATTCTCCTCACTGAGATGAAGCAAGATGACAAGGTCGAAGTCTTCAACTGTCGCATGATTAATACGCTCCAGATTGTCAAGGTTATTGTCAATGTCAAGCCGGATGACTGGGTACTGCAGCGCGTTCCACAGTTTCAGAAGATCTTGGAAAAGGCAATTCGTTCGGAGAATCCCGATGTGCAGGCTAGTCTCCATGCAACAGATGAATCTGAAGATGGAACAATGAAGCTAAAGCCAATTCTCAAACGCATACTCGAAGTCATGCCTGAGCCTATTACGGATGACGAGGGAAATACGGAAGACTCACCATCGACAGAATTTGTCGGCTTCTTGGGAGCTGTGGCAACGGAAGCACTTTCCGGCACTGGTCAAATTTGCGCCATCAACATTCTCTGGACTTTATGCCAGAAGCGGCCCGAGGAAATTGACCAACATATTCCACAAGTCATGAAGGCCTTCCAAGGCAAGATGGCAAAAGAACATCTTGCTGGTAATACTACAACACCAGGCCAGCCGATGCCACCTGGCATGCGTCCCGAAGGAAATAATCCACCCACCGATCCACGTGAATTCGAGGTGCAGACTGATCTTGTCCTGAAAACTATCGACATTCTTGCGGCACGGATGAATGAGCTTGGCGAGAATCGCAGGCCGTACCTGAGTGTGCTGGCCTCATTAGTGGAACGATCGCAGACGAATTCTGTCTGCATGAAGGTTCTAGATTTGGTAGAGGAATGGATTTTCCACTCTACTGAACCTGTGCCAACGCTCAAGGAAAAGACAGCCGTGCTCAGCAAGATGCTGCTCTTCGAGCATCGGCAAGACACCTCGCTGCTCACACGTTTCCTGGACCTCGTCATTCGGATTTATGAGGATCCGAAAATTACGCGAAGTGAGCTCACAGTGCGTATGGAGCACGCCTTTTTGATAGGAACGCGGGCACAGGATGTCGAGATGCGCAACCGATACATGACAATCTTTGATAAGAGCTTGAGTCGAACTGCGGCTAGCCGGCTCAGCTATGTGCTTGCTTCGCAAAACTGGGACACACTTTCTGACAGTTACTGGTTGAGCCAAGTGATTCACTTGATGTTCGGCTCGGTGGAGATGAATACACCTGCACAATTGCACTCCGACGACTTCCGTCTTATGCAACCATCGACTTTGTTTGGATCGTACAGCAGGGATCCTAGAATCAGCGATGTCATTGTCGACGATGAGCTCGAGACGCTCGTTGTTGCTCATCGTCGCTTCTGCAATCAGCTAGCAGATGTGAAGGTCAAGGACATCTTTGAGCCGCTCGGTCACCTTCAACATACAGATAGCAATCTCGCTCACGATATTTGGATCGCTTTCTTCCCGCTTGCCTGGACCGCACTCACAAAAGACGATCAGAGCGATCTCGAAAAAGGCATGGCAGCGCTTCTTACGAAGGACTACCACTCCCGCCAACTCGACAAGCGACCAAACTGCGTCGCGACTATGCTAGACGCCATTGTACGTGCTCGGCCGCGGGTTAAGTTCCCACCACACATCATGAAGTATCTAGCGCAGACCTACAATGCCTGGTACACTGCGGCAGTGTACATGGAAGATTCTGCAAACTCTCCCATTGTCGATGTTCCGAAGCTGCGAGAGAGCAATCTTGACGCACTTTTAGAAATTTACAGCGGTCTCCAGGAGGATGACTTGTTCTACGGCACGTGGCGCCGCCGTTGCCAGTTCATCGAGAGCAATGCTGCTCTATCGTATGAGCAGTGCGGTATTTGGGACAAGGCCCAAGCAATGTACGAAGCTGCGCAGATCAAGGCTCGCACTTCAGTACTTCCCTTCTCCACCGGCGAGTATATGCTTTGGGAAGACCATTGGGTCATCTGTGCTCAGAAGCTGCAGCAGTGGGAGATTTTGAGTGATTTCGCTAAGCATGAGAACTTCAACGACCTCTACTTGGAATCGACATGGAGGGTGTTTGATGCCTGGCAAAACGCAGAGACGCGTGAACAACTTGATGCGACTATCAAGGCGGTTAGCGATGCCCCGACACCCCGACGAGTGTTCTTCCAGACATTCATGTCATTGCTGAAGTTGCACAACAAGCAAGAGTCTCAACCAGAGTTCCATCGGCTTTGCGATGAGTCCATTCAACTATCGATTCGCAAGTGGCACCAACTTCCTCGACGCATCACTCAAGCGCACATTCCACTGTTGCAGCACTTCCAGCAATTGGTCGAGCTGCACGATGCCAGCGTTATCTGTCAGAGCCTAGCACAAACGACACAGGTCAACTTGGATGTGAAGTCACAGGAGCTCAAGCTGCTTCTCAGCACCTGGCGAGATCGCCTGCCCAACTTCTGGGACGACATCAACGCATGGCAGGATCTCGTGACCTGGCGACAGCACATCTTCCAGCTCATTAATGGTGTCTATCTCAACCTCCTACCGCCAAATCAGAATAATGCGAGCGGCAACTCGTTTGCATACCGAGGTTACCACGAGACCGCTTGGATCATCAATCGCTTTGCACACGTCGCTCGCAAACACAACCTACCAGACGTGTGCATCAACCAACTCGGCCGCATTTACACTCTGCCTAACATCGAAATCCAAGAAGCGTTCTTGAAGCTGCGCGAGCAGGCCAAGTGCCACTACCAGATTCGTGCCGATCTCAATAGCGGCCTGGAAGTGATCAACAACACCAATCTGAACTATTTTGGTCCGCAGCAAAAGGCAGAGTTTTATACGCTCAAGGGTATGTTCTTGGCTAAGCTTGGCAATAAGGAGCAAGCTGGCGAGGCTTTCGGTACAGCGTTGTACTTTGACATTAAGCTGCCAAAGGCATGGGCTGAATGGGGCCGGTACAATGACATGCTGTTCAAGGAGGAGCCACAAAACTTGGAGCGGGCTGAAGCAGCACTCAGCTGTTACCTTGAAGCCGCGAGCCAGTTCAAAAATGCGAAGTCAAGGAAGCTGCTCGGTCGCGTGCTGTGGCTGCTCAGCTTGGATAATCCGGAGCGGAAGCTGGCAGAGAAGTTCGAGGAATTTAAGGGAGATACTCCGGCTTGGTATTGGATCACATACATACCGCAACTGCTCAATAGTTTGTCACGGCAAGAGGCGCCTATTGCCAGGTCCATCTTGGGTAAGCTTGCGAAGACATATCCACAGGCGCTATACTGCCATCTCAGGACGACCCGAGAGGACATGGTGGTGCTGAAGAAGAATCACGAACAGAAAGAGGCGAAAGAGAAGGCGGCAAAGGCGGCGAAGCAACAACAACAAGCACAGGCTTCTCCAGCTTTGAAACAGGGCTCGCCTGATGCTCGTCCCGACTCGAGTAGCGGCCGACCAAATACTGCTGCGGGCGATGGCAAGACTGCTGCAACTGGGACACCGAACGGTACTGTCAAGACTGATGGTGCTGCTCAAGGGAGTCCTGCCACCAATGGTGCCCCTGCTGGTCCCGATGCACCGCCAGCCCCCAAAAAGCCATGGGACCATGTCGAGGAGATCAGTGCAATCCTTAAGACGGCTTTTCCACTTCTCGCTCTTTCTATGGAAACTATGCTCGATCAGATACAAAAGAACTTCAAGTGCCCTCCTGACGAGGACGCATACCGACTCATTGTCGCACTGTTGAACGACGGATTGTCTTACGTGGGGCGCACACCAGGCCTCTATGCTCGTGAGATCAAGTTGCCCCCGTCCACCGAGGCCAACATTACGCGTTTCGCCGAGTCCGTCCTGCCACCACATATTCGCAAAGCCTTTGAGCGTGACTTTGTTACGAACAAGCCCACCATGTATGAATACATTCAAAAACTTCGTACATGGAGAAATCGCTTTGAAGAGAGGCTCGACCGCAGAAAGCTCAGTGTTCCGCTGGAGCAGTACACGCATCAGCTCAGCGAGTTTAGGTTCCTCAAGTTCGATGATGTGGAAGTCCCTGGGCAGTACTTGCAGCATCGCGATAAGAACTCTGACTTTGTTCGCATCGAGCGCTTCTTGCCGGATGTCGAGTTGGTGAGAGGTATCGGTATATGTCACCGCCGCCTCAAGATCCGCGGACATGATGGAAGTATGCATCCCTTTGCCATTCAATTCCCCGCTGCCAGGAGTTCCAGGCGAGAAGAGCGTATACTGCAGCTGTTCAGAATTTTCAATGGCATCTTGTCCAAGCGCAAGGAGAGTCGAAGGAGGAATCTACAGTTCCACTTACCACTGATGATCCCGATTTCGCCGAGTGTACGGATGGTGCAGGATGACTCTTCGTACATGAATATGCAAGGCATCTACGAGGACTATTGCCGTAAGAATGGCATCAACAAGGACGAGCCGGTTCTCTTCACCATTGAGAAACTCCGTGCACTACAACCTGTAAGTAAACCGTCGTCCCGTCATCCCCTTCCCCGTCTCCCTCGCAGCAGATCATCGACTAACTCACGCGAGCAGAAAAATATCGAACATGGAAGTAGTATCCGTCTTGAGACCTTTGCCGCCGTCCAAGAAAAATACGTCCCACCAACCGTCGTCCAAGACTACTTTCGCGCCACCTTCCCCTCCTTCGACGACTTCTGGCTCTTCCGACGCACCTTTTCCTACCAGCTCGCCTCCCTCACATTCATGACATACGTCATGCATATGAACACACGCTACCCCCACAAAATGAGTGTCTCGCGCTCCTCTGGCCGCATCTGGGGCTCCGAGCTTATTCCCAGCATGGCCGTCGGCAAGCCCATCCTACACAACAACGAACCCGTTCCCTTCCGCCTAACGCCCAATCTCCAAACCCTCATGGGCCCGCTCAACGTTGAAGGCATCTTCGCTCCCGCCGTCATGACGGTTGCCCGCTGCCTGATTGAACCCGAGGGCGAGCTTGAGATGCAGCTGAGCATCTTTATGCGCGACGAGATGAATCACTGGTTTGCGACGCAGCACAAGAATGGCCAGTTGACGCCTGAGGTGCTGCGTGAGAGCGTGCAGACGAATAGCGAGTTGGTGGTGAAGCGTGCGAGTGCGATTGGTAGTTTACCGACTTCGGCCAATTTGCCGGCGAACCAGACGGTTGTAGATCTTGTGGCTGTTGCGGTGCATCCGCAGAAGTTGAGCCAGACGGACCCGCTGTGGATGGGGTATTTGTAGGCGGTTGATGGTGGATGGATGTGGGACGTTTTTGTACGGATGTCACGGATTGCTGGTCGTTCTGCGGGAGTTGTGGTGTCGACTGGGGTGGGTAAAAATCGGGACACGAGGCAGGGTTTGGCATCATTATGTGGATTTCTTCTTTGTTTCCCATGCGCCTATTTTTTTATCTTCTTGCTTCCTCTGGCAAGGCGCTCATGGAGCATGGGAGTTGAAAAGATGAGCCGATCTGGCTCGGTTCGGGTCTGGTTCATCAAACATGTTTTTGGTCGTGCTTGTGGGTGTTGTAGTCTATATGATTTGAATTCTTAGCCATGGTTCTCTGTTTTGCTCAGTCTGCATAGCGTTTGGGATTTTGGCTAGGAGAGAGAAAAGGAGGGACGGGGGCGTGAGTGTGTCTCAGTGTGCTAAGATTCTGCAGTGTATTAAGGATTGTTTCATCACGATACATTTGCTATTATACCACGTCGCGGTTGCAGACACCACTATACTGTAGTGGTCGCTCCTTCTATCACCACCGTCATCTCTGTAAACACAATGTCATCAATACCGGCGCGCATCTACGTGGATTTTCTTCGTTCTATGCCTACACAGGGTAGACTTGGGCTTGGGCGCGTCTTTACTAGCACAGAGGGATGCTTATGTTAGGTAGGTATATAGCAGGCAGCATATCCACCCGATAGCACAAAGATGCACTGAATTAGAGGGGGAGATTATAGGAGAATCAAGAGATGAAGAGTCGAATAATGGACCGAGGATAGATGAAGAAGTTGACTAATGCACATCTGGTGTGGCGTTTCGAGTGGATGCTATAACAACTAAACCACCGAAAATAACACCACATGCATAGTAAGATTCCTCTCACCTATAGGTAAACAGAATATACCTTTTTCCACGCTTTCTAATACGCCGTTGACAAACCATAAACCTCAACAACGTACACACTAAAGGCCAACAACCATCATACCCACCACACCTAGCCAACTCTCCTCCTCCAGTCCTGTATTCTTGTCTCTAACCCACCCTTGGAACCCTTCCCTTGCCTCTCCGCTAGTTTCCCCACCACAGCCTAGCCCCGGCTTTATCTGGCCTAGGTCCATACACGCACTAACCTCCCACCATCTCTCGGCTGCACATCGCGCCTTCACCACGCCCTCGCAGACGGTGGTTATATATACGTTGTACATTGCACCGCAATCCGCCATGCCCGCGCCAGATATCCGATGAGGCTCCGCCGTGGCGGAGAGGGCCTAGATTTGGTGCGGCTCATATAATCTTCTGGGTAGGGCTTATTTTGACCAGGGCGGTTCGGCTGGGGGTTCGGCTGTGGGTGGGTAGGGGATTGATTGGGGTGGATGTGGGGGGAAGAGCAGGAGGGTGGAGGGGGCGTGTTTCTGTTTGAAATGTGGGGAAGAGGAAGGGAGTCGATTGCGCGTGGAGGTTGTTTATGTTGGTTTGTGTGGGATTTTTTTTGGGAGTATTGGTTGGGTGATCGGTGTTGTGGGCTCGAGTTGGTCACGAGTCTTATGGTGACATCGCTTGGGAAACATCGTGGATGACTGACTGTATGATAACGCGGGTTGCAGGCAGATCGCTGTATACATATGGCACCGACGGTGGAATGTAAGTATTCGCGGTGCATGAGGCGGGCCGTTAGATAGGTCGGGTCAGCCCTAGATCAACACCAGGATTGCTGATGGGTTACCGGTATATTTGTATGTAAAGTGCTCGTTTCGCACTTCTGGGCTGCACTCACAGATTTTTAATTCTCTCTACGTTTCTACCTATTCAGTCGCTTCAGGGTTTCGGCTCTATCGTCACTGGACGTTTTCTTACTCTATTCAATTACACGTTTCTTGTGGAGCAAGTGATTCTCTTCAACAATGCATGTGTCGTCTTTGCTCGCGGCTGCGGCTGTCATTGCTCCTGCCTTGGCGCAGTTGTCAGGAAAAGTCGGTCCCTTGACTACACTGGCGGAAAAGGCGAAAAAGAAGTGTAGTGTGCTCGATCACGGTGGCAAGGCGGACAAGTCGACTGATCTTGCTCCTGCGCTGTTGGCTGCTTTCGCCGCTTGCAAGCACGGCGGCGTGGTTGTGATTCCTCCTGGTGATTATGCGTTGCAGACTTGGGTTGACCTTGCGGGCGGAAAGAAGTGGGCACTGCAGTTGGATGGAATCATTTATCGTACCGGTTCGGCATCTGGCCACATGTTGCTCATCCGGAACACACATGATTTCGAAATGTTCAGCAGTACCGGCAAGGGTGCTATCCAAGGTAAGCTGGACGCAATGTTTCTTGTCAAACAAGGTTACTAACTGCGAGGCAAGGTTATGGATTCGAAGAACACAAGAAGGGAAATCGAAAGGGTGCTCGTCTCCTTCGATTAGAGAAAATATCAGACTTGTCCGTACACGACTTCGTCCTGGTTGATGCCCCAATGTTCCATTTCGTCATGTACGGCGTGTCCAACGGTGAGGCGTACAACATGGCCATCCGAGGTGGAGACTGGGGCGGCCTAGATGGCATGAGCGTGATAGGTGACAACGTCTGGGTTCACGACATCATGGTCACCAACAAAGACGAATGTGTAACCGTCAAATCACCCTCGAAGAACATCCTCATTGAGAACATCTACTGCAACTGGAGCGGCGGCTGCGCAATCGGCTCCCTCTCCGCCCACACCGACATCTCCACCGTCACCTACCGCAACATCTACAGCTGGAAATCCAACAATATGATGATGATCAAAATCTTTGCGGCTCACTTCG